AATGGACACACACACTGACTCACACTGTACGAATGGACACACACACTGACCTCACACTGTACGAATGGACACACACACTGACCTCACACTGTACGAATGGACATACACACTGACCTCACACTGTACGAATGGACACACACACTGACCTCACACTGACGAATGGACACACACACTGACCTCACACTGTACGAATGGACACACACACTGACCTCACACTGTACGAATGGACATACACACTGACCTCACACTGTACGAATGGACACACACACTGACCTCACACTGTACGAATGGACACACACACTGACCTCACACTGTACGAATGGACACACACACTGACCTCACACTGTACGAATGGACACACACACTGACCTCACACTGTACGAATGGACACACACACTGACCTCACACTGTACGAATGGACACACACACTGACCTCACACTGTACGAATGGACACACACACTGACCTCACACTGTACGAATGGACACACACACTGACCTCACACTGTACGAATGGACACACACACTGACCTCACACTGTACGAATGGACATACACACTGACCTCACACTGTACGAATGGACACACACACTGACCTCACACTGTATGAATGGACATACACACTGACCTCACACTGTACGAATGGACACACACACTGACCTCACACTGTACGAATGGACACACACACTGACCTCACACTGTATGAATGGACACACACACTGACCTCACACTGTACGAATGGACACACACACTGACCTCACACTGTACGAATGGACACACACACTGACCTCACACTGTATGAATGGACACACACACTGACCTCACACTGTACGAATGGACACACACACTGACCTCACACTGTACGAATGGACACACACTGACCTCACACTGTACGAATGGACACACACACTGACCTCACACTGTACATGGACACACACACTGACCTCACACTGTACGAATGGACACACACACTGACCTCACACTGTACGAATGGACACACACACACTGACCTCACACTGTACGAATGGACATACACACTGACCTCACACTGTACGAATGGACATACACACTGACCTCACACTGTATGAATGGACATACACACTGACTCACACTGTACGAATGGACACACACACTGACCTCACACTGTACGAATGGACACACACACTGACCTCACACTGTACGAATGGACACACACACTGACCTCACACTGTACGAATGGAACACACACTGACTCACACTGTACTGACACACACACTGACCTCACACTGTACGAATGGACACACACACTGACCTCACACTGTACGAATGGACATACACACTGACCTCACACTGTACGAATGGACACACACACTGACCTCACACTGTATGAATGGACATACACACTGACCTCACACTGTACGAATGGACACACACACTGACCTCACACTGTATGAATGGACACACACACTGACCTCACACTGTACGAATGGACACACACACTGACCTCACACTGTATGAATGGACACACACACTGACCTCACACTGTACGAATGGACACACACACTGACCTCACACTGTACGAATGGACACACACACTGACCTCACACTGTACGAATGGACACACACACTGACCTCACACTGTACGAATGGACATACACACTGACCTCACACTGTACGAATGGACACACACACTGACCTCACACTGTACGAATGGACACACACACTGACCTCACACTGTATGAATGGACATACACACTGACCTCACACTGTACGAATGGACATACACACTGACCTCACACTGTGACAACACACTGACCTCACACTGTACTGAAACACTGTACGAATGGACATACACACTGACCTCACACTGTATGAAGGGCATGGGGCAGAGGAGGGCTGAGTGCAGGGCTGTGGACATGTTTGACTCTGCTTTCAAACACATGTTTAAACTCCCTAAACATCATAGAAGTATGTTAGCAAACCTTTGGCATTGTTAACTTTAGCACTGATTTGTTAAAAGCCTGAGGCTTTTTTCACAACACTTTTCTTGTCCTCGTGTGTGTTGATTTGATCAGAATATGTGTCAAAGGAGCATTATTGGTCCATTTCACCTCCACACCTCGCTCTACCCATTGGAGCTGTGTTTACAGCCCCCTGCAGCTGGATTTTACCTCCACTGCTCTCACCTGCTTCAGCAGCATTTGGACCCTACGACTAAACACAATATCAAACATGTCTGACCTCCCTGTAACTGTACGATCAGGTGTCATGTGTTTATCGTGAGATGACTGAAGCCCATGACCCCTGGACACTGCACGACACTGACGCACGGAGGAGCCGAAATTCGGCCCAATTATAAAATTGTAGTGCAGCTCAAGTTCGTGTCAGCTTTACTTTGGAACTTTCCAAGTAATCTTTTTTACACGCCTTTTCTATGGGTCATATAACAAGGAATATTAAAATCAATACAAGAACTGACTTCAATCACAATAAGTGTTTTGCTGTTGACAGTGAACACATTTTCATAAAGTCGGAATGTGTTTTTTTGCTTTGATGCGATCATATAATGAGTAACATGGAACAATACAGTAAAGATAATAATAATTAAACTGATCACCGGTGTGTCGACCTGTTGAACAAAGTATGTACCCAGCCACACCTTTTATAAGGAAAAACAACACACAGACAGAACAGCCTATTTAAAACCAAAATTACATAGCTATCATGAGGTGGAGGAGGAAGTAGATTCCAGTGTTAATACAGTTCCTGAAACGTGAGCCAAAAGCTCAACATGTACAATGTAAAAAACAGTGCCTGTATATGTTTTGTGTACTCTGCATTTCCAAGGCAATAAAGCAAAGATTTTATTTATTCACGCTATTTTACATCACAATTCACTTGTAAACAGTAAAATGAAAAACTACAAAATTTCCTAAAATGAAACTGCAGGAAGACCATGAAGGCCCAAATCTATATTAAATTCAAGAACACCAGAAAAAGTATTAAAGTTTAATGAAATATTTCCTTCCTGATTCCTTAATTTAATTTTTCATGAATTAAAGTTTAGATTCGGCTCTTCTTCTCTCTTGATGAATCCCGCCCCCCTGTCTCTCTCAGAGCACATAAAAGAAGTCGTGCCCTTTCAAAAACAGTCACTTCTGGATCTTCACACAGGTGCGTTCAACATTTCTATAATCTAAAACAGGGATGACATGTTTTAAATCGGACTATAGTCACTAACATTTTTCTTACCCACTAAATACTGAAGACTGATCAGGAATAATTTTCAAACTGTTATGCAAATTATGAAACTGTTCAAAAATTTTTAAGTAATTTAAGAGAAATTAAAAGTGATATGGAATGTGATTTGTTTCACATTTTGAGAAATCAATAAAATTTGCACGTCTAATGTAATGATTTGGTCATCACTCTCAGTCCTTCTTCTTTCTCAGTGAAAACAAAGCAGAGAGCAGCTCCAAACATATGAGACGTGTTATTCTCCTGATGATGTGGTGTTCAATAACAACTTGGCTCTTTTGAATGGTTCTTTAAAGATACACTGTGTAACTTTTCTGATGGAAGGTCGTCTGCTCGTTTCCATAGATATGCTATTACTGAAATGTCCCATAGTATGACATTAAACATCTGTCTCCATGGAGTCAAGGAGGTGATGCCACAAAGTCGAGTGACAGGTCAGATATGTGGATAAATGGCCCTGCTCTCAGTTTTTCAAGACAATAAAATCTCCTATAATTAAAAATAAATGCAAGTTATATAAGTTTAATGCAATACTGTGGAACATTTCAGTCAAAAAGTTACACGTGGTCGGTTGGAGCCGGAGTTCGCTTTTAAAAACACCCTAATCTATTTCTTTCAAAATGTTCTGCTTTTTAATATTAACACTGAATCGACACGAGTATCAGTATAGAAGCTGAGTAGGGAACACGAGTGAGAACTTTGTGCACAGAAAACATATTGGCATTAGGAAAATGTGTTTCAGTAATTATTATTATTGCAATATAACATTTAGATTATGCATAGTCCAATGAGGTTCATTTGTTTTGTTTTTTTCCCCGACAGCCTGTGTAAATAAGCTGACCAGACACATCACAGCAGCATCACGTTACCACTCTGAGGAAGACCGTAATCAGCAGCCGAAACTGTCAGGTATGAAAATAAACTAAACATAAAAAACTAAAAAACTAGTATGTGACAGAGCGCCTGTGTTGCCCCGTCATCTCCCGACTGGCGCGTCTGCATCTGGCCAAAGAGCGCGCACGATGCTTCCTTCCCTCCCCGTTTTGCGGAGCTAAGCTCCGATAGACTGGTTTATGCAGGACCGCTCGTGTGTCTCGCGGTCCTGTTTTTCCCCAACATCTGAACGGTTTCCCGGCTAGTGCGTTCGAGGGGGCACACTCGACGCCAACGCTGCTTTCCTACCTGCGGCAGCCTCCGCGCCGTTCTCGAGTTTAGGGCCAAACCGAGGCACTTCCTGGTTGTGCTTTAAATAGCGCATAGTGGCGCGCTCAAGGGGGACATGTGATCATGGACTCAACCATTGTGGTCTATTTGGGGGCATTTGTGGGTTTTTGAAGTTGTTTAATGGAACTTATGTTAACCTTATGAGGGGTTCTTTAAGTTATTTTTATTATGTTTATTTCCAAGTTGATTTGTGTTCCTCAATACAATTTTGCTTATGTTAATTCCTTAAAACCCCATTTTCGTTAATTGGTTAGCCCGGGGGGAGGGGCTAAGGGGGTATAAAAGGAGGGAGCTCCAGTCATTTGTGAGTGGGTATTTGGCCTGACTACGTGGGTGCTGGCAACTGTAAGTGATTAGTGTACATATGTTTGTAAATACTTCTGTCTACCACCTCATTTTTTTTTTTGGTCACTGTAAATATTTCACTCTGCACTTGGAGCTGTGGTGCGAATAAAAACCCACTTAAGTGAAGTTTTTTTGACTGAGCCATCATTTTTACATTTATTTCAGACGAACCCGTGACATTTGGTGGCAGTGGTGGGATGGCCAGTCGACGGAAGCGCACACAGCTCCCTGGAAGACGTGCAGGACTGCGCTCGCAAAAGCAGGAAAGGGCACAGGAATTAGCAGTGGATGATGGAGCCTGGGCGACAGAGGAAGAAGACGAAGCGGGTGCTGCTGCTCCAGTCCCGCAGGCAGCATTAGGCCCAGGAGAGGAGTTGCTGACTGTCATGAGGACCTTCCTGGAGGGACAGCAGAGGAGAGAGGAGGAGTTTCTGGCAGAGCTCAGAGGTCTCCGGGCTTCATTGCCAGCCCAACAACCAGAGCAGCTGGAGACTGAGCGGAGGCCAGCTGCACCTAGCTCGGCACCAGCCAGCACCGCGTCACCATCTGAGGGGTCTACAATGAGTCTTAGGCTGGACCTACCCACACCAGCTCCTCGGCGTCGCTGCAGCTCGTCCATGAATGTGCCAAGGGCAAGTGAAGAACATCCACGAGCGGAAAGCAGACTGTATGGGGACCCTAAGATCCCACAGTACCTGGCGGGAGAGGATATTGAGAACTACCTGCTGCGCTTTGAGCGTATCGCCAGAACATGGGGTTGGCCGGAATGTGAGTGGGCATGTCGTTTGGTGCCTCTACTCACTGGAAAGGCGTTGGAGGCATATACGGCTATGGACGAGGAACGGGCACACTCCTACCCGGACCTGAAGGCAGCCCTCCTTACCAAGTTTGACGTCTCCCCAGAGACTTATCAGCAGCAGTTCCGGTCCATGGCAATCCCACCTGGAGAGAACCTAACAGAGACTTACCACCGTTTAAAGGGGCTCTACCGACGATGGATCCGGCCAGAGCAGCACACTAAGGAGCAAATCGGGGAGCAGATTATCTTGGAGCAGCTGCTACGGGTCCTCCCGGCAGACATTCGCACCTGGGTGAAGGAGCACGAGCCAACAGAGGGATTAGCTGCGGCCAAGCTAGCGCTGCAGTACCTCAATGCGCGGAGGGGAGGCCCAGCTGCCTACCCAGGGGGCCCTGGTCGGCAGCCTTCTTCTCAACCCAGACCGGCAACCAGAGTCAACTCCCACCTGCCTGGAGATCCCAGCCCTGCACCCAGCCAACGTGGTCCCGGTAAGGAGCTTGTTTGTTTCTACTGTCAGCAGTCAGGTCATAAAGCTTCCCTGTGCCCAATCGAAAAAGCTAAACTTAGCGGGGCATGTTATACCCCACGTGCTGAGGATGTCAGTGCTGGAGAGAGGCGGCAGTGTTACAAGGAGGTTACTATTAATGGTGAACCCGTGACAGCTCTGGTTGACTCTGGTAGCTTGTCAACCCTGGTCCGAAGGGACGTCGTGCCTACAAGCATCGTAGATTACAGCAGGCAGGAAACCATTTTGTGTGTACATGGTGACTGCCATTCCTACCCTACTGCTGATCTGACAGTGACTGTGGATGAACAACCGTATTTGTTGTCGGTGGGGGTGGTGGAGAAGTTACCAGTAGCTGCCATCCTGGGGTGGGATCTACCTGTGCTGATCGATGTGTTGCAGGAAGGGGGAGCTAAAGTCAGTGACTGTGGCAGGGGGTTTTCGGGTCCTGTGATCACCCGTGCGCAGGCAAGGACAGGGGTCCAATCTCGAACCTTTTTCTACCCTGGACAGTGAGTTGTTTGAAGGGGGCACAAAGGGGCCTAGGAAGTCACGCCGCCAGTGGCGCATTGAAAAGGGACTAAAGTCGAGGGAGCCAGACTTTAAGGCAGGATTGATGTGGGAGGTGCCAGAGGACATTGGGGCCTTACAAAGGCAGGATGAGACTTTGAAGCCAGCATTTGCCAGAGTAGTTGAGAGGCCCGATATGGCAAAAGGAAGCAGGGAGTGCTATGTTATTGACAATGATATCTTGTATGCAGTGACTGACGGTGCCAGGCGCCTCGTGGTTCCCATGTCGTGTCGACCACTGGTCATGCACCTGGCACACACCGTGCCTTGGGCTGGTCATCTGGGTCGACAAAAGACTTATTTGTGTATAGCTTCTCGCTTCTATTGGCCCTCCATGTATGCGGATGTACAAAATTTCTGTAAAACCTGTCCCACCTGTCAGAAAACGTCCTATGTCCGCCAATCTGACCGTGCCCTTCTCCAACCTCTGCCCGTGATTTCCACCCCATTTCGCCGTATAGCCATGGATATTGTTGGCCCATTAGTGCGGAGTAATGACGGACACCAGTACATCCTGGTGCTGTGCGATTATGCCACCCGGTTCCCCGAGGCGTTCCCCCTGCGCACCGTCACTGCCCCGGCGGTGCTGCGTTGTCTTGTGCAGTTGTTTTCCAGGGTTGGTATTCCGGATGAGATCGTGACCGACCAGGGGACGAACTTCACCTCCAGACTTCTGCAGCTCTTCCACCGGCAGCTGGGAATCTCGGCGATCAAGACCACTCCATACCACCCTCAGACGGATGGCTTGGTCGAGCGGTTCAACCAGACCCTAAAGAGGATGCTGCAGAAGTTCGTGGCTGATACCGGACGAGACTGGGACTAGTGGCTGCCCTTTCTGCTGTTTGCCTACCAGGAGGTTCCTCAGGCGGCCACTGGTTTCTCCCCGTTCGAGTTACTGTATGGCTGGGATGTCCAGGGACCATTAGACCTGCTGCTAAGGGGCTGGGAAGCTCCCACAACCACCAGTGATCGCAGTATGGTCCAGTTCGTGCTGGAGATGAGGGACCGCCTGGCCAAATACCGGGAGGAAGCCGAGGTCAACCTACGAGAGGCCCAGCAGTCCCAGAAGGCATGGTACGACCGTCAGGCCAGACACAGAGAGCTCCAGCCTGGCCAGAAGGTTCTGCTCCTCCTGCCATCCTCCACCAGCAAGCTACTTGCCAAGTGGCAAGGCCCCTACACAGTTCTCCGGAAGATGGGCCCTGTGACCTACGAGATTCACCACCCGGACAAGAAGAAGGCAAAGCAGACTTACCATGTTAACCTGCTGAAGGAGTGGAAGGAAGCTCCAGTAATCCCGGTGCCCGTGGCGTCCCTGCTGGCGACGGAGGTGGACAGCGAAGGGGAGGAGGAGTCCACTCTAGCCGACCTCCGCCAGCCTGCTGAACCGGCCCTCAACCATCTCTCCGCTGACTAGTCCAGCCAGCTGATCCAGGTCTTCCAGAGAGTCTCCAAGCTGTTTGCTGCTAACCCGGGTAAGACGGTCCTGGTCGAGCACGTCATCCGTTTAAAGGACAAGGGCCCGGTCCGCCAGAGGTCCTACCGGGTTCCACAACATCTGGTGGCACAGCTCCTGAAGGAGGTGGAGGAGATGCAGCACCTGGGGGTGATCGAGCCATCACAATCGGAATGGTGCAGTCCGGTGGTCATCGTGGTGAAGAAGGACGGCTCACTCCGCATCTGCATCGACTTCCGGAAGCTCAACGTGATGTCGATGCCTACCCGATGCCCCGGATTGATGACCTGCTGGAGAAGATCGGTCAGGCCAGGTTCATCACCACCCTTGACCTCTGCAAGGGCTACTGGCAGGTGCCTCTGGAGGTGTCCAGTCGCCCATACACGGCCTTCCGGACACCTGCCGGCCTCTTCCAGTTCACCGTGATGCCCTTTGGCCTCCATGGAGCACCTGCCACCTTCCAGAGACTAATGGACCGTGTCCTGCAGGGGTGTGGCGACTGCAGTGCTGCCTACCTAGACGATGTGGTCATCTACAGTGACACCTGGGAACAGCACCTGCATCACCTGGAGCGAGTCCTTGGCCAGATCCAACAGGCAGGTCTGACACTAAACCCTGCCAAGTGTCAGTGGGCCAAGCAGGAGGCGACGTACCTGGGCTATCGTCTGGGAGGAGGTGAGGTCCGGCCTCAGGTGGACAAGGTCGAGGCCATCCGCAGCTGCCCACGCCCTCGCACAAAGAAGGAGGTGAGGTCCTTCTTGGGCTTGGCCGGCTGGTACCGGAGATTCGTCCCGCAGTTCGCAACCATCGCCGCCCCTCTGACAGCGCTGACGACGAAGGACCAGAGAAATCCTGTCTCCTGGACCGAGGCCTGCGAGACAGCCTTCCAGACCCTTAAGAACTGCTTGTGTTCCTCCCCAGTGCTGAGAAGTCCCGACTTCAGCCAGCAGTTTTTGGTCCAGACTGATGCCTCCGCAGTAGGACTGGGGGCAGTCTTGGCCCAAGGTGAACCTGGAGAAGAACGTCCCCTGCTATACCTGAGTCGCAAGCTGTTGCCACATGAGACCAGGTACTCCACTGTGGAGAAGGAGGGCCTGGCCATCAAGTGGGCGCTGGAGAGTCTGAGGTATTACCTGCTGGGGAGGGAGTTTGTCTTAGAGACTGATCATCGTGCTCTGACCTGGATGAACTCTATGAAAGATCATAACAGCCGTCTCACCCGCTGGTATCTCTCTCTCCAGCCGTTCCATTTCCAGATCCACCATTGAGCTGGCAAGGCCAATGTGGTGGCGGACTATCTGTCCAGGTTGCCGCACATCGCCAACCTTGGGGAGGAGGGGAATCATGTGACGGAGCACCTGTGTTGCCCCGTCATCTCCCGACTGGCGTGTCTGCATCTGGCCAAAGAGCGCGCACGATGCTTCCTTCCCTCCCCGTTTTGCGGAGCTAAGCTCCGATAGACTGGTTTATGCTGTTTTTCCCCAACATCTGAACGGTTTCCCGGCTAGTGCGTTCGAGGGGGCACACTCGACGCCGACGCTGCTTTCCTACCTGCAGAAGCCTCCGCGCCGTTCTTGAGTTTAGGGCCAAACCGAGGCACTTCCTGGTTGTGCTTTAAATAGCACATAGTGGCGCGCTCAAGGGGGACATGTGATCATGGACTCAACCATTGTGGTCTATTTGGGGGCATTTGTGGGTTTTTGAAGTTGTTTAATGGAACTTATGTTAACCTTATGAGGGGTTCTTTAAGTTATTTTTATTATGTTTATTTCCAAGTTGATTTGTGTTCCTCAATACAATTTTGCTTATGTTAATTCCTTAAAACCCCATTTTCGTTAATTGGTTAGCCCGGGGGGAGGGGCTAAGGGGGTATAAAAGGAGGGAGCTCCAGTCATTTGTGAGTGGGTATTTGGCCTGACTACGTGGGCGCTGGCAACTGTAAGTGATTAGTGTACATATGTTTGTAAATACTTCTGTCTACCACCTCATTTTTTTTTGTCACTGTAAATATTTCACTCTGCACTTGGAGCTGGTGCGAATAAAAACCCGCTTAAGTGAAGTTTTTTTGACTGAGCCATCATTTTTACATTTATTTCGGACGAACCCGTGACATAGTAAAATACATATTCAAAACAAAACAAAACAAAAAAACTAAATAAGAAAAAATGGTAAACATTCCCATTTTCAGTCTGAACCACGTAAACAAATCTTACCCTTGGTCATTTCTTGTTGTGATTAGGCTCTAGATAAAAAATGAGTTCCACACTGATGCAAAATAAATAAAAAAGAGACTGTCTTTTGAACAGTGCTGTCTCTGTCAAAGCGTCCATCTCCCATCTGTGTGGGTGGTTCAGCTCTGACAAGAGAGCACATTCTGATCATACCCGCTGACCATTTGAGAGCTGACAAGATGACCAAAATGCATCCACCGTGTAAACTATATATATATATATCAAACTCATCATACAGAGATTGGTCGTGTACTTTAAAACTTTTTTTTTTACTTCAACTGTTTTAATAATAAACTGACCATTGACCACTGATTAATTAATGGCGCCGTCATTACTGACACAGTGAACAGTCAACAGTGGTTAGACTGGACTAGGAGTGTTAGGAAGTAACTAAATACATGTTCCATAAATATGTATTTAGAATGCAAATTGTGTTCAAGTTTAATTACCCTTTCATTTGCTGATATTCAGAATATAGTTACTTTAAATCAGAGGAATACATTGTGATCATGCTGAGGATTCAAAAACACAGCACGGTGTGCATGTGTAATAGCTCTCTAGCACAGGCATGTCCAAGTTATGGCCTGTGGGCCAAATGCGGCCCTCAGACAATTTGTTTTGGCCCTCAGGCTTCCAGGTGAATTGGCCCAAATTACCTTGCACCAATTAAAAATGAACTTTTTACTGCACGTTTTTTGAAAATCTACCATTATAATGCTAATATATAATATTTAGTGTGTGGTTTTGACTATCTTGGCATGAATAAAGACTGATGGCTCATTCTAACGTGTTTAAACATGCACATATTTCAATTATTCACTGTACTGAGCATCAGTCTACGGCCCTCGATCAGCCCTCTGCTTCGTCTGTGTTTAGATATGTGGCCCTTGATTAAAAAAAGTTTGGACACCCCTGCTCTAGCATATAGCGATCCAAATTGTGTCATTCCTTTGTGCATTAGTTGAGCATGCTGTTTTTTCAATATTGATCGTTGGCTGGTCCCTTCATAGTGCCCAGTGTATTTTAAAATGATGCCACAAGTGAGTACAGAAAATAATTTTATTTTATTTGTTTTCAGGTTTTTGCTCACCAGAAGGATTCATTTTTGATTATTTAAGGTTAAGTTTAGGTATCAGTCCTCACCCAACTCTATTGCACAATGAACAGACAAACTTTAGAAAGCCAGCTAAAAGACCAGAAACGTCTCGCTGATGGAGTTAGAGACAAAAGCACTTATCTAGCATCCAAATCATGGCAAGTTC